CATCGTCTTCAAAGCAGGAAATGTTGCCTGCCTTGTTGGAAGCAAGTAAAACTCCAAAAAAGGGAATTGTGCAGAAAAATAGATCTTGACCAAATTTGGGGAGATCAGGGATTCTCTGGAGTGGGGTGAGCCCAGACCTCAGCAAATTGTCCTATTGGTTTGAGCCATAAAGTTAGCTCTTGATGGTACCAAACACCAATAGGAGATTAGCCAAAGGTCAGGGGTACCTCCACTCAGAGTCCCTTTGTGGTTGCCAAATGTGAACCCCAAACATCTGAGACAGGTCTCAGTTAACTTAGAAAGTTTATTTTGTCAAGGTGGAGAATGTGTGCCTGTGACACAGCCTTGGGAGGTTCCAATAGCATGTGCCCAAGGTGGTTAGAACACAGCTTGGTTTTATATATTTTAGGGAGATAGGAGACAGCAATCAACATATATAACATGAACATGGGTTCAGCCCGGAACGGTGGGACAACTTGAAGCTGCGGGGGGGGGGGTCTTCCAGGTCATAGGTAGATAAAAGATAAATGGTTGCATTCTTTTGAGCTTCTGATTAGCCTTTCCAAAGGAAACAATCAGATATGTATTTATGTCAGGGAGCTGAGAGGTGACTTTGAAAAGAGTAGGAGGCAGGTTTGCCCTAAGCAGTTCCCAGCTTGACTTTTCCCTTTAGCTTAGTGATTTTGGGGCCCCAAGATTTGTTTTCCTCTCACACCACTTTTGGACAGAAATTACATACATCTCTCTTCAAAAGAAAGCTACCTGTGAAATAAGCTCTTATCACTAAGTTGCTCCTTATCCATTAACTCCATCTATTAAGTTCCTATATGCAAAGCCCAATGCTGGATAGGGAGACTCGAATGTAACATTTTTCTTTGGCAAACAAGACAAAGAATAAGAAAGGTAATATCTAGTCGCTGAAACTTAGCTCAGTACAGACCTACAGTTATCAACAGTACACCTACTCTGTGTAAGGTACTAGATTAGATACTAAAACTATAAAGCCAGGCACTGTAATTTATGCCTGTAATCCCAGCACTTTGCAAGGCAAGGCTGGAGGATCGTTTGGGGCCAGAAGTTTGAGACCAGCCTGGGTAAGACAGCAAGACCTCAACTTTATAAAAAATTTAAAAATAATTTTTTAAAAAAGGCCAGTGTATTAGTATATGCTTGTAGTCCTGGCTATTCAGGAGGCTGAGGTGGGAGCATCACTTCAGCCCTGGGGTTCAAGGCTGCAATGAACTGTGATTGCATTACTGAACTCTAGCCTGGGTGGCAGAGTGAGACCCCATCTGCAAAATAAATAACTAAATATATATATGGAGAAAAGTTTCAGGTACAGTCTTCATCCTTGGTGTAATGAGAAAGATAGATGACAAAAATTAGTTAACACTAGGATGCCCAGAGTACTATGAGATCACAGGGAAAAAGTTCAAGGAAGTCTTCATGAGTTACTTAAACCATCCTGAAGGATGGTTAAGATTAGCAAGTGAGAAAAGATGACAGGAAGCAGAGTTATAAAATAACATGGATGGCCGGGCGAGGTGGCTCAAGCCTGTAATCCCAGCACTTTGGGAAGCCGAGGCGGGAGGATCACAAGGTCGAGAGATCAAGACCATCCTTGGTCAACATGGTGAAACCCCGTCTCTACTAAAAATACAAAAAATTAGCTGGGCATGGTGGCACGTGCCTGTAATCCCAGCTACTCAGGAGGCTGAGGCAGGAGAATTGCCTGAACCCAGGAGGCGGAGGTTGCGGTGAGCCGAGATCGCGCCATTGCACTCCAGCCTGGGTAACAAGAGCAAAACTCTGTCTCAAAAAAAAAAATAAAAAAAAAAATAATAACATGGGTATATGTCAGAAATTATTTGAATAATAACAGAACAATAGTAAAAAGTTATCCCTAGCATGTAGAGTCCAGCATGACTAGGGTTGTGAGGTGTTCCCTATCGCTGTACCAAGGCCTTGGATACAAGAAATAAGGAGACAAGACATCAAAGGACTGGATAAAAGCAGCTGGGCTCAGGAGACCAACGCCACTCGCAAGCAGAGACAGACGAGGCCCCAAGCGTCCAGGCACATTTGTATTTATTAGGTATAGGTTGGGGGAAGGGTTGTCAATGAGGTCATCTTAAGGATAGTGATAGGGTCAAGACAACCACATGAGTAATAAGCAAGGGTCCCCCCATTAGGTCACCAAGGCAAGGACGTGGGCAGTGCGCAGCGAGGAGGGTGCAGTGTGCAACATCTCTTATCCAGAGGCAGGCAACTTCTAAGGATTTCTGTGGGAGGAGTCTGAGTCATCAGCACAGTAGCAAGAGAGCTGACACGGGAGGGGTTTTAAGCCCTTGGATGTTCACTGGATTGCCAACCAGAGGCCAGCTTTCCACAAGAACTGGACACAGGATACTACAACTCCCTTACAGGAGGAGTGACTCTTGCTCCAAGCCTGCCATACAGCGGGTATCTTTACTACACTGAATGCTGCCACCTGGGCCAGCCTGCCATGTAGCACACGCCCTTTCAGGGAGGGGTACTACCGCCTGGGCTCTTGATTCCTCTCCTGGTATGGCTGTTTTTTTCCCTAGTACATGCTCCGCACTGTGTCTGCTCTTGACACTCCTCTGACTACAAACCAAGATATGATTATATAAAAGGAAATAAGTGAGCAGTAAGTTATTCTTCAGCACTATCTGTGCCGGGGGTCTGCTTAGCTCTCCTTCCTCAGTGCCCAGAAAGGGAGTAACTCACACTAGCAGATGAGCTCATGAGAGGATTTTGTCAGTTTTGTTTACAGTAAGTGCGGCTCATAGTAGGCACTTGTAAAGTATTTGTTAAATGAACAAAAGGATCCAAGCTCGGGGTTTATGGCAAGAAGCAGCAGGGAGGGAGACAGGACAAAACTAGGGACACCTTGGAAGAAGCTTGGATTGTGTGGGGGAAAACTGAAGATGTTTAAAAAGAAGGATGGCATGCCTGGATTTGTGGTTTTGAGCTTCAGGAGGGAGAAAGGACAGAAGTGGCACAAGGCTGGAGACAGAAAGAAACAAGTTATGTAGCCATTGCTAAAGTCGGGTGAAAGCTGACCAAGGTAAGACATGGAATTTAGTCGTGAACTTGTCACTTAAAGCCATCGGAATTGTTAACATGAAAAAGACTGGCAATATCAAGTGTTGTCAAGGATGCAGAGCTGGAACTAGAAGACTCATCCTCTGCTGGTAGAGTATAAATTGAAAATATATGCAGGCCAGGGGTGGTGGTTCATGCCTATAATCCCAGCACTTTGGGAGCCTGAGGTGAGCAGATCACTTGAGGTCAGGAGTTTGAGACCAGTCTGGCCAAATGGTGAAACCCCATCTCCACTAAAATACAAAAAATTAACCAGGAGTGATGGCGGGAGGCTAAGGTGGGAGAATCACTTGAATCCAGGAGGTGGAGGTTGCAGTGAGTTGAGACCTTGGCACTCCAGACTGGGCGACAGAGAGAGACAAGGAGAGAAAGAAAGAAAGAAAGAAAGAAAGAAAGAAAGAAAGAAAGAAAGAAAGAAAGAAAGAAAGGAAGAAAGGAAGAAAGGAAGAAAGGAAGAAAGGAAGAAAGGAAGAAAGGAAGAAAGGAAGAAAGGAAGAAAGGAAGGAAGGAAGGAAGGAAGGAAGGAAGGAAGGAAGGAAGGAAGGAAGGAAGGAAGGAAGGGAACGAAAGAAAGAAAGAGAAAGAAAGGAAGGAAGGAAGGAAGGAAGGAAGGAAGGAAGGAAGGAAGGAAAGAAAGAAAGAAAGAAAGAAAGAAAGAAAGAAAGAAAGAAAGAAAGAAAGAAAAGAAAAGAAAGAAAGAGAAAGAAAGAAAGAAAGAGAAAGAAAGGAAAGAAAGAAAGAAAGAAAGAAAGAAAGAAAGAAAGAAAGAAAGAAAGAAAGAAAGGAAGGAAGAAAGAAAGGAAAGAAAGAAAGAGAAAGAAAGAGGGAGAGAGGAAGGAAAGAAGGAAGGAAGGAAAGAGGGAGAAAGGAAGGGAGGGAGGGGAAAGAAAAAAGAGAAAGAAAGAAGGAAGGAAAGAAAAACATATGCAGTATAATTTCTCAAACTGTTGGGTACCTTCTACTGAAACAGAACCCACAATCCCACTTTTAAATATACAACAGAAATTAGTGCTTATGTACCCCCAAAGATGTCCCTACAAAGATATGGACAAGAACATCCATAGTAGAACTATTTTTCATAGCTAAAATGGATAAACTGTGTTATATTCATGCAATTGAATACCAAAGAAACGCTGAAAAGTAACTGTACTTTCACTATCCAGATAAGTCTTATAAACATCATATTGAGTGAAAGATGCTAGACACAGAAGACTACATATAAATCAGTGCACCATATTCTGCCCACCCCCACTTTTTTTTGAGACAGAGTCTCACTCTGTCACCCAGGCTAGAATGCAGTAGTGTGATCATGGCTCACTTCAACCTCCACCTCCTGGGTTCAAACAATTCTCATACCTCAGCCTCCTGAGGATTTGTGATTACAGGTGTGCACCAACACACCTGGCTAATTTGTATTTTTAGCAGAGATTTTTGGGGGTTTTGCCATGTTGGCCAGGCTGCTTCCAAACTCCTGACCTCAAGTTATCCACCCGCCTCAGCCTCCCAAGGTGCTCATGAGCCACTGCACCCAGCCTTCCATCTTTAAAAGTCCAAAAACAGGGGAAATGAATGTATCATGCATCCTGCCAAGTCTGGCCATTGAGGTAGCCAAGCCCTGCCTATGTTCCCACCAGGAATTCTTATTTCTACATCAGCTCTGACCTCAGATTTCTCAGAGGATTATGAAACTCCCTTCCTGCCCCAGAACCACCATCCGGCTGCCACCTAAGGCTTAGCAAAGAAAAACTTTGGCAGATCCTTTCTCATACCTTCCTCCCCTGGCCAAGGCCGAAAGAACTAGTTAGTTATAAGGGAGATGGTTACAAACCAGGCAACTCAGCTAAATCATGAAATTCTGCACCCACACTTAGGTAACCCTATTCTCAAGAATCAAAAGAATAATTTGCTGTTACAGAAGTGGAGTCATGAGCAACCCGGTAAGTGAAATGGGATCAAGGTAGAGCTGCAAATCTGGGGTTTACTTTGAAGGAATAAATATAATGAAACACTCAGACAGAATGCTGCTGCCTGGAGAAGCAGAAGACTTAGATGTAGGTATGGTTTCTCCCTGAAGCACACTGGGCACTGAAGTTATTTCTAGACTTTTACAGACCCTGCCCCAATGTCCTAATGCCATTCCTGGTGCCGCCTCCTTACTGGAAACTCAAGTTTTCACCCAATCCCAACCTCACACTCTTCCTTGTCTTCAATCACCTAATATATTTAGCATTAAAGTCTTTGACTTCCATATTTCATCAAACATAACACACTTGTGAAAGATGCATTATTATTTATATACCACTAAAAAGTTTTCAAGTGAAATATGACATAGCCATCCACTGTGAAATGCATTCACATTCAGAGATGTGAACATCTGAAAAGAACACGTGCAGGGCAGGGCCCGGTGGCTCACACCTATAATCCCAGGATTTTGGGAGGCCAAGGTGGGCGGATCACCTGAGGTCAGGGGTTCAAGACCAGCCTAACCAACATGGAAAAACCCCGTCTCTACTAAAAATACAAAAAATTAGCCACGCGTGGTGGCAGGTGCCTTTAATCCCAGCTACTTGGGAGGCTGAGGCAGGAGAATCACTTGAACCTGGCAGGCAGAGGTTACAGTGATCTGAGATCGCACCATTGCACTCCAGCCTTGGCAACAAGAGCAAAACTCTGTCTCAAAAAAAAAAAAAAAAAAAAAAAAGGAAGAAGAATAAAAGAACATGTGCTTCTTGGAATCAATTAATTATAATACTAGGGAGAAGTCAGGGAATGAGAAATCCCAAGCCGTTTGATTTCAGGAGATTGTGTATGTGAATTAACAAATCCTTAATACCAATGTATAAGAGCTCTGAGAAGTTGCAATGATAGAGTTTGTTTATTTCCAGCATCATTATATGTTTTAGATGTTAGATTAAATAAATAATATGGAGAATTACAGAGATCTGGCAAAGTATTTTTAGCATAATTTTGAAAGGATGCCAAATATTAAGGTATTATGAATTTAATGTGTTTAATGTGTATTTATATTTCAAGTGTCTTGCAGATGATGGAAATAGGTAGGATTAACTTTTCAATCAGGAATAAAATTCCTTAAAGCCTCAACATTTTTGCAGTATCTCAAATCAATAAATGTTTCACCTTTGTGCATTTTTTAAACAGATTTTTGAATTTTGTGGTGCCGATGCTAAAATATTGGAAGCCAAGATTCAAGAATTAATGTAAGCTGATCTCCAAGACAAAATATACTTGTGACATTTTAACAGGAAAGAGCAAATGTGTTTGTGTTTTTATTTCCAGTAAATACTATAGTGTTCTATTGGTCTCTTTCCTAATGCTTTACTGATTGAATGCCCAAATGCAATCTCACTGCACAATTGCTAAAACCTGTTGCAATATCAGAGATTGTGTCATTTCCATTCACCAACTTGGCCTTCCCACTTTCTCTGACCACACTCCTTGGGCAGTGTTTTTATGACCTTCACAAGAGATGTCCTGCACAGCTAAGAAATACCATGTTGTTAAGATTTTCCAGAGATTAGCAAAGATGAAATTCTTCCCAGTGATCAAGGTACAAATAAATGTTGTAATGCCATTGCATGCTTTGAATACATGAAAGCCTCCCTCCATTCAGCCATTTTTTATGGTTCAAAGTTCTTCCTCAATGCATCTTCTTTTTTTTTTTTTTATTGAGATAGAGTCTTGCTCTGTTGCCCAGCCTGGAGTGCAGTGGCATGATCTCAGCTCAGCAACCTCCACCTACCAGGTTCAAGGATTCTCCTGCCTTAACCTCCTGCATAGCTAGGATCACAGGTGCACACCACCACATCTGGTTAATTTTTCTATTTTTAGGAGAAAAATAATTTTACCATGTTGGCCAGGCTGGTCTCAAACTCCTGACTTCAAGTGATCCTCTCACCTCAGCCTCCCAAAGTGCTGGGATTATAGGCGTGAGACACCATGCCCTGCCATCATTTTATATTTGAACTGTGTCACTTTTCTCTCTCTCTCTCTCTCTCTCACTCCCTTTCTAAAATTCTCCTGTAAACACACACACACACACACACACACACACACACACACACACACACACACGAAAGTTCTTTTACTGCCTATTAAAAATAAACTGAGATAACTGAGACATTTAGAGCCCACAGGAGATGGCTTTTTCTATACTATACTAATCGTGCCTATACTGAGGCAGATGAAGACTGGAGTCTTAAGTCATAGACAGAGTGGAGCTGGCTTTCCTAGGCATTAATAACAGAGATTTTGACAAAGCATAGGCTCCACATGCTTTCGTAGAATTCTTTAGGGTAGGCAGAGCACAATGTTTCATGCCTGTAATCTCAACACTTTGGGAGCCTGAGGCAGGTGGATTGCTTGAGCCTAGGAGTTTGAGACCAGCCTGGGCAACATGGTGAAACGCTGTCTCTACAAAAACATAGAAAAATTAACCAGACATGGTGGTTTGCACCTGTAGTCCCAACTGCTTGGGAGGCTGAGGTGAGAGGATTGCTTGAGACCAGGAATTTGAGACCAGCCTGGGCAACATAGCAAGATTCTGTCTTTATAAAAAAGAAAAAAAATACAAAAATTAGCCAGGCATGGTAGGTAGAGCCTATAGTACCAGCTGCTCAAGAGGCCGAGGTGGGAGGATCACTTTCACCTGGGAGGTAGAGGTTGCAGTGGGCTGAGATCTGCCACTGCACTCCAGCCTGGATAATAGAGTGAGATTCAGTCTCAAAAAAATAAAAATAAAATTATTTGGGCTATAGAGGAAATCAGCACATACTAGCTTAAGCGAAAAGGAGAATAAATATGTACTGAGCGCTTACTCTGACAAATATGAAAATAAAACTCAATTCATGGAATCGAAATGCAGAGATACAACCAGCCTTCACATGAGATTAGAAGCAGGGAGAAGAAAGCTATGGGAGACTCAGGATACTTCCAAGTATTTCTGTCCTCTGCTTTTCATCTGAATCATCCTTTCTGTTGCTACAGATAGATGTCCTATTTTCCAGGCTTTGTGCTGGAAAGTAGTCCCTGCCAATAACTCCCAAGCATATATTATCTCTTCCATTCAGGGAACCAGCCAGACTATTCCTTCTTGAACAACCGTAGTCAGGGGGCAGGATCACAATAATAAAAGCAATTTTGCTCCTATTACAAGGGTGGGAGTGGAGATGGTGGAAATCCCAGAAAAGCAAGAAGTTGAAAAGACTTAAAATGTTGTGTTCCCTGCAAAAAGTAAACTTTTAAAATAAAGTAACAATGTAAAGCAAAAGTTGTCTCATAAAAATTTGTGCAAATGCACATATATGTTTAGTGCATGTGCTATGAAATATCTTAAACCCTCTGCATTCATCACCTCATTTAACTTTTGCAGCAATCCTGTAAGTTGAATTGTGTTGAGAAATGTTTAACAACTGGTTCTCTGGGAGAGAAAAACTGCCTGGTCTGACGTGGTTGCCAATTTCTGTGGTGTAAATACTTCATAGATTTCAGGCTACCCAATGGCATCACTGAGCATGGAGCTGGGAAGAGATGTACACAATAGGCCTTCATGAGCTGGTAAGATTTAGCTGTAGCACCCCACTACCTCCAATGAGATACTACTTTTATCCCTATTTTCTTACACAGAAGAAAACAGACACAAAGAAATTAAATGACTTGCCCAAATTTTACAGGAAAAAAATCTGCATTGGACCCCAGCTCTGTGATGCCAAAGTTAAGACTAAGGGTTCAAGAAAAGTAGTGTAGTCAAGCCTATAATATAAGCATGGCATATAATAGTGCCATGCTTAATCTTAAATTCTACCAGTCACACTCACTGCTTAACAAAATTAAGTGTCACAAAACTTCAGATCATCTTGTCTGGTGACCTCATAATAATAAGACCTCATTTAGAGAGGTTTAGAGTAACATATGTCAATTTGAACTTTCAAAGCTAGTGCCCAAGTTTATAAATCATAACTGAAATCTACCCAATTATTTGCACCATACTGTATCTAGATCCTCCCCCCGTCCCCCTCCCCCCCGCCACCCCATGGTGTCGCTCTGTTGCCCTAGCTGGAGTACAGTGATGCGATCACAGCTCACTGTAGTCTTGATATCCCAGGATCAAGTGATCCTCCCACCTCAGCCTCCCAAGTACCTGAAACCAGAGAGGCATGTGCCACCACGCCCAGGAAATTTTTGTATTTTTTGTAGACATGGGGTTTCACCATGTTGCCTAGGCTGGTCTGGATCTCCTAGGCTCAAGTGATCTGCCCTTCTCAGCCTCCCAAAGTGCTGGGATTACAGGCATGAGCTACCATGCCTGGCCTGGGGCCTCTTTTTAACCTGCACAAAGAATACTGCAGTTCTTCCATCAGAGCTCGTGGGCCCTTTAAGCCAGCAGTCCACTTTACTGCAGTGTGGTAGCCTGCAGTATTCACGGAAGCAAGCCCACCATCTTTCCTGACAGCCTCCTGATTTCTTCTATGTGCACTGAACAACTCAGTAATATCTGCCTCAACCTCCTGTCTCCCAAGCATAGTTATCTCACCTCTCAAAGTCTGCATTAATGACAAAATGCAAAGAAAAATATGAATCCAGATTTACGGCATCATTTCCTCCTAGTGAAGTTAAGAACATTATTTGATCACAACAAAGTCTTTTATCTAGAGTCAGGGATCAGGGTTCATGCCTGTAATCCCAGCCCTTTGAGAGGCTGAGAGAGGAAGACTACTTGAGGCCAGGAGTTTGAGATCAACCTGGGCAGTGCAGCAAGACCCCATCTCTACAAAACCTAAAAATTAGGCAGGCATGGTAGCACATGCCTGCAGTCCCAGTGACTCAGAAGGCTGAGTTGGGTGGATGGCTTGAACCAAGGAGCTTGAGGCTGCAACGAGCCATGATCATGCCACTGCACTCCAGCCTGGGCAACAGAGTGAGAACCTCCTCTCAAAAAAAAAAAAAAAAAATTACTTAGCTCTTGCATCTTCAATGAACACAGCTTTAACAAGCTAAGAAAGTTCTGACTTGTTGTAACTTTTATTCACCTAGAATTAACAAATTTCAGTCTAAATTTAAAATCTTCTTCTCCCAACATTTCTATAGGGGAAATGTTCACACTCACCACTAGTCCTGGAAACGTGTGAGGTGGGTCAAAAACCAAGTTGGAACCTTTCTCACTTTCACTTTCAGTACCTTGTCACCCAGATTTTCTTCCTCCTCCTAATCTGCTATCACTACCCAGCACATATTTTACGTCTTATTTCCCCAAAGCCTTTCTTGCTCTTCTCAAGATCCATTTCTCCCATCATTCACTCACTCATTCATCCAACAGTCATTAATGGAGTGGTTTGGTGCTAGCAGTAGGCCCATTCTAGGCATGCATAGAGTATGAATACTCTCCTTGAGATGCTCACACTTCAGCAAGAGAGACAGGCATGCACAAACAAGGCTAAAGGAATTACAGTAAGAGATGTTCTGATCAATATTTATGCAAAGGCGAAGTGATGTGGAAAGACAGGTAAGACGACTGATTTGCCTGGAGGTTGGTCAGGGAATGGGATTGAATTTCAGTGCCTTCTGGGAAGAGCTGACAGTTAGGCTGGGCTTGAAGGCTAGGAGGAGTCTGTTAGATACCCAAGGGAAGAAAAGGCTGATAACACAACACAGACAAAACAGTGATTTGAAAATGTAGGGTGGGACCAGCCATGGTGGTTCACACCTGTAATCCCAGCACTTTGGGGGACCAAGGCAGGTGGATCACTTGAGGTCAGGCATTCAAGACCAGCCTGACCAACATGGTGAAACCCCATCTCTACTAAAAATACAAAAATTAGCCGGGTGTGGTGGCATGCGCCTATAGTTCCAGCTACTTGGGAGGCTGAGGCAGGAGAATCACTTGAACCTGGGAGGTGGAGGTTGCAGTGAGCTGAGATTCCACCACTGTACTCCAGCCTGGGCAACAGAGTGAGACTTTCTAAAAAAAAAAGAAAATAGAGGGTGGAGGGACAATGGTAGAGTCTGCAGTGGCTGGAATTTGGGGAAAATGGAAAAAACAACTAATTTCATTAGGCCCCCTAAAAAGCTTAAAGTGCCTCCCTCTCAGAGGTATTTGTTTGCATAGGAGCAAAGTTTAGCACAGAACATTCAGTGTTAGAAAGAGTGACTGGGCATCAGAAGACTTGAGTTCTCAACATAGTCTATCAGCAGCTGTGTTGTTTAAGGTTTGTCAATCTCTCCAACCTTGAGTTTTCAACACTTAAGAGAAG